GTGGCACAGGCGAGGGGCAGAGTTCAGGTCTGCTGCTCCCAGGCTCGCGAGGAGTCGCACCTGAACATCAGCACAGCTACTATTCTCTTTCTTTCCTCTGCTACCGTGTGGGAGAGGGGAGAATCGAACCATCTCTAAAAGGAGCTGGGGAAAGGTACGCGCATTCCAAGCCCGCAGCTAAATCACTAAAAGTAGTTCGAGAACATGAAGATAAACGTCTGCATTATCAGCAGTGAAGGCGGGGCGCATTAAAGAGCACCCGCTCTTTCCACACTGCATGGTATTCATTAAATGGCCCTTTGCCTAACCTATCAGGGGGTGCTATGCGTTAGATATGTACGACAATGGATACTCATTTTGGAGAAAACAAAATGTGCTGGTGGCACTGCCCACCCACTCCTCCTGGATTCATCGCCAAACCCTGCCCTTTGGTGGGCACCTCGTATGGAAGGCCTTCGTTACAAACCAGTCAGCACAGACACGCTGAAATTTTAATGCGGACAGTACCCCTATAAGACTTTGAGTTCTAATTTGTAAACGGCCTATTGGTGTCATTGTCAATGATGATTCTAATCTTTAAAAGGCTCTCAGATGTACAGCAAGTGATCGGAAAGACTATGGTCAGGGGTAGGCGCTCCAAAGACACTGTGGGGCAAAGCAAGGCATCGCAGCAGTGCCGTGATCTCATGCCAACTTGATTGTCACCACCACCACCACCATGGTTTTTTTCAGTCATCTGCTGTGCTGCTGAGAGCTGGACAATGAATAAGGACAGAAGAATCAAAGCCTTTGAGCTGGGCTGTTGGAGGAGAGTCCTGAAGATCCCATGATGGCCAACAGCACAGTAGGTCTTGGAGAAGATGCAGCCGGAGTGCTCACTGGAGGCAAGAGAACGGCGAAGCATGCCTCCTCTGCGTTGGGCAGGTTGCTAGGAGAGGCTGTTCCTCACAGAGGGACGTCATGCTTGGGAAGGTGAGGGGCAGCGAAAGGGAGGAAGGTCCTCGAGCAGGTGGGCTGACACCGTGACTCCTGCGATGGGCTCGAGGGTGGCAGGGATGTGAGGGCGGTGCAGGACAGGACAGGGTCCAGCTCTGCTGTCCGCAGGGTCACCAGGACTCATGCTGGACTCAGTGGCAACCAGCACCGCATCAACTCATCCGTGGGTCTTCTTTATCCCAAATGCAAGAGCATAGAGGGGAACATATGGAATTTTCTCTTTTCCACTTTGTAATAGAGGAAACGTGAGCCCCCGAGCCCCTCACCCCGAGTTCTCACCCATCTTTATTTTGGAAGAAACAAGCAGCCACACTCACTCACATGCCACCAGTCTACCCCTCCGCAATTTTTCTCAGCATTTCCTACTCGCCACCATCCTCTGCTGCCGTGTGTGTGTCCCTGAGCCCACAGTCACCCTGGATGATGCGGACAGACTTCTCTTTCCTTTCCAATGTCTTTGTCTGTTTTTCACAATGGCTCCAGCAACGCCTTATAAGAACCCAGCTCTCCTCTGAAGATCTGCTTCAGTCTAAGAGTCACGCTTGAATCATCAAGGGCAAACCGACTCCACGTCCACTAGGAAATATTCCACTTACCACTGTCCTTCACCCACAGTTTCTCAGTGACGGGGAAAGCAGACTCGGGGCTCGCAAGCCTTGGCAAGAATGCAAAATGCATCTCCCTCACACGGGATGTGACAGGTGTGTGCTCTGACAATCTACACGACACATGCACATCTCTGCACCGCTGGTGACAGACACTCTCTGGGCATCCTGCTGCATTTGGGGGAGGCGCAGCCGTGACTCAGTTAGTGGTCGTAGTTACACAGGTGGCTTTGCTTCATGGAAACCTCATCTGGAACCAAAGGAAATGCCGCCCTTGGATAAGGACATCATGCCTGGAAAGGTGGGAGGTCCGTGAAAGAGAAGCCAACCCGCAACAAGCCTGGCACAGGGGCTGCGGCGATCGGCTCGATTCTGTCGATGGCGGTGAGGCCGGTGCCGGACATCACAGAGTTTAGACCGCTTGTCCACAGGATGGCCACTGCTTGTCGTCACCGCGACAGCACTCCCCGGCATTTCTGGCACAGGATTTGACGGTTCACAGCAACCACAAACTGGCTTGTCTATACCAATTCATGATTTCACATTATTCCCCAAAACAAACTATGCATCTACTGTAATACAATCATCCTTTCTCTATCACTATCTTAACTATGTGGCCTAGTGGCAAGAAGCTGCGCTGCAGTCCTGAAGGCACGTGGTTCGAAGCCACCAACTGCCCTGCGGAGGATGGCCAATCTCCTCTGTGTGGTAAACTGCCTCTTAAAACTGACCGGAGGGTCAGTTATGGGTCAGTTCGGCCTCTACAGTACACAACAACAACATCTTAACTATTATTAGTAAGAGTTTCAAGGATCTAATCAGATCCCACATAGTGTGGAAATTACTGAACAATATCACTAATACCACAATCAAGCAAAATTTTACTGAAGATAATCCAAAAATGACTGGAACATGACATCGACAGAGAACTACCACACAAGTTCAAGCTTAGTTTAGAAAAGGCTGTGGTACTAGGAACATAACAGCCAAGGATCTTGGCTGAAAGCAGAGAGCACTAGAGGAATGTCTATCTGTGCTTCGTTGACTATGCAAAGGCACTTGATTGTGTGGGTCACAACAAATTGTTGGCCTTGAGAATGGAAATCCCAGTACATCTATTTGTGCTCATGCGAAACCTATACTTTGACCTGGAAGCAGTCATCAAAACAGAACCAGAAAACACCAGAAAACACTGCATGTTTCAAAATCAGGAAAGGGATGCATCCTTTCTCCACACATTTTTAATCTATATTAAGAACAGATTATCTGGGAGGCTGGACTTTATGAAGAGGAATGTGGCACCTGGATTAGAGGAAGACACATCAACAAACACTATACAAATGACACAACCTTGCTTGCTGGAATTGAGGCTCGAGCAGCAATGAGCTTAGTGCAGGACGGGGTGGGGTTTAGTCTGAAGTGTTTGCTCCAGAAGGTCAAGGATTTCAGTCTTCAATATGCACCTTAAGGTTAACATTAAGAAAACAAAGATTCTCATCAGTGGGTCAATTGGCAGCATCATGATAGATGGTGATAAAAAATTGAGATTGTTAACAATTTCTGGTTGCTCGGTCCCACAATTCTGGCAAAAGTAGTCAGGAAATAAAGAGACTAATGGCATTAGGAAAATCTGCTGTCAGGGATCTCTCCAGAGTGTTAAAAAGTAACAATGTCACTCTAGAGACTAAGGTGTACCGATCCAGGCCACGGTGTTCACAATTGCTTGCTATACATCAGGAAGCTGGACAATGAGGAAAGGTAACAGAGGAACAATCAATGATGCCTTTGAGTTATGGTGCTAGAGAAGAATACTGAACAGACCATGGACTGCCCAAATATCAAAGAGGTCTATCCTAGAGAGGGTGAAACCAAGCTGCTCTTGGAGGCAAAGATTCTGAAGCTCTGTCTCACACACTTGGGGCCTGTTGCCAGAAGAGACCAGTCCTTGGAGAAAGACATCATGCTTTGAAATGTGGAGGAGGGATAATGCAGGAGACGGAAACTCGGGATGAGATTGGCACAGTA